GCATTAGGAAGGGCCAACATTATTGTGGTATATAAAATTAAGTATGATATTGATGACATACAACTACTATGACTCAGATTGATAGTCAGACTTAATATAGTATTACATTTATTAGCCTATTTTATAAAATTCATACTTATACATAAAATATTTTTTTAAAGTTTTATAATTCAATTAAGTAAAATTATTTTTAAATAAATTTATATTTTTATTATTTTAATTTTAAAATTTTTATATATTACCAATTAATGGGTCAAGTGGGAGAATATCAAATTATATGATCATATCTAATTAGGTAAGATATATTATAGATATCATTGGATTTTGATTACGATTATCAGTCAATATAAAGGAAATCAAATTATAGTAGGATTAATCAAAAGATGACCTTGATGGGAGTAACTCTCCCATTAAGAGATTATAAATCTTCTTTCATATTCTTTTTATCCTTAATCAATTGCTCATAATCATTTTACGAATAATAGGAAGAGAGGATAAGACGAATTTAGTTTTCCTTTTATATCGATATCGCTGTAGTTTTTGAATTCGACGATGGTAAGATAAATGTTTTATAAATAATATTGAAGGTACACACATCATATATTTGATATATCATTATTTAATTTTAGTTTCTAATATTAAGATTTTTTATATAATAATAATATATTACGATTGTTTATGGCTACGATCTTATCGTTAGCAATCCTTTTAGTAAAGAAAAAGAAAGTGCTAAAGCACTCAGTCTTATCCTTAGCAAGTAGAATGCCTATATTCTCTATCGTTTGTGCCAAAACAAAGAAAAAAAACATGATGTGATACATGTTTTACTTTTACACTATTACTACGGTTCAAATCTCAATCGTCCAAATCGCAAAGAACCAACCTTTCATTGTCGAAAATACTGGAGGGTGCTCCGAAACCGTCCATCCCACTGCAACTTTTCTTTCTCTTTAATCACTGCCCACATCTTGTGCCGGTGTCTTGCATCCAATGCGGCTGTTCTTATGTGACTTTGTCCACAGAGCTACAATGACAGGCCAAAAATTGCAGAAGCACTGCAAGATGCAGATGTGACCGCGACATGCGAACCTCTTGCCGGCTTCATGGTTATCCGAAGCCACGCCTTCAGGTTCTTCTCTGTGTGCGAGCATCGGACTGTGATGTGGTGTGACTGCTTTGAGATGCCCACCCCACTACTGCTGGGGAGCTATTTACTGCACGCACAATCCAAAACCTTGCCCCTCTCTCTAAACCCTGCGAGCATGGAACAAGACGAAGAAGAAGCCATCATCTTTGTCACTTGTGTCTCTCAAGATCTCACTGCTATGGGGACCATAGAGAGCCGCAGCAACAAAGCTGTGAGGAAAACCAATGCGGACGGGTTGATGTCTGTAGCAGCATGATGGACTGGTCTAAAAGCATTCAAACAGCCATTGCTACTCTATAGATATTATGCTGCACTCATCTAACAAGCAACAAGCTCATTTGTCCTCTCTCTCTCTCTCTCTCTCTCTATAGACACATGTACAATTCATAGATGAGGCTCCTGATAGGGATGCCAGTATGTCAGAATTCTTTATGATATCCACACCTATCACTCCACTTGATTCCATGAGCACTCTTTCTTTCTCCAATCCCCTGTGACTTGAAATCAATAGAACATGCAGTTCTCCTTCCTCAATCATGAGCAGCATATGACTAGATGTAAGAGGCTCTCATAGGGATGACAGGGATGAGAGTATATATGTTGGATTTCTCTAGATATCCAATATCTACACATAGTGGTGTGAATTTCTAGTTCTGATATTAGCATCCACCTTTCTTGATTACCAAAGCTGAAAGATGCATTTCTTTTGAGGAAATCTAACAAAGTTTGCAAGCCAGTTTGGATCCTTATTTCCTTGTACAGAAATATTATTAGTAGAAATGATTTCCTTGTGGTTGAGGATGAGATAGATTCTTTCTTGTGTCCACAAATGGTCACACAATAGGTCCTATAATGAAAGGTAAGGCATCAAAGGAAAATGAATCCTGTAAAGTTTGTGTAGAGTAATCATGAACACAAAATTTTTTTTTTTCTTTTGTGGTAAAGGCCAACATTAAGAAGCTTGATATGAGATTAATCCATTATTTGGTTGCTAATACTTGGTGCTATGTAATCAGTATTGATTTATCTGTTCGATTAAGTATTGATATAACATCATATAGTTTGGTATTGATATTTATCTATTACTAGGATGGATAAAAGTCCTATATGCCGAAAGTTACTAAGAGGTCACTGTGTCACCGTTGACAAACATATCATTCTTACAGTGCCTACAGTGCTGCACCATTCTTAGCACTGGAGTGTCGTCGTCTTCTTCCTCCAGCAAATAATTAACCGTACCACTCTCAATCATCCCTGCCACCCACATTGCCGCATACTCATCTCTCGAGTCTTGATGTCACGATCGAATTGTTTTTATTCGAATTAAATAACAAGAACACACTTAAGATTTTAAGTATGTTCATGAGAACAACTTCTCCACTGGTTAGAATTGCCTTTGACATCTCTTTCCAATATCATGTCATCTCTACTTAAAACAGTTTTTTATTATACATGATCGAAAGATTCAAAGCATGAAGAGAACCTCTTTAGAGCCTTTGATATCATCACAAGTTTAAGTAGCACTTGATGTGAGGAAGGACCTCCAAAGGATTGGCCTATGAGCTACAATAGAGAGCAGGAGAGGGGAGACAATGATGTCAACAGTATCCACAATGCACGCATCCGTTGCCCCACCACCATATGACACGATGCCCACCCACATCACATGGCCGTGTCTTCTTCCCACTCCAACACCATCCCGCCGCCAACGCCCCCCCCACCTATAGCTCAGCCGTCGAGGCGCAGCCAAACCCCGGTGCAGCTCAACCGAAACGAGCAGCGAACTGATAACAGGTAGCAACAACGCAAACACTAGAGCCTCAACGACAGGTCGAGCTCGGCCGGGCCGTCGCCGGCGGCTGGGACGGCTGGGAGCTCCTGCGTAGGGTGGGACCCTCTCCGCCAGTTGAGCAGGTCGATGGTCTCGTCACCGCTCGCGGAGAGGTCCCCCGCGGCGCACATTGCCCTGCCGCTACTCACCGTCGCCAGCAGCGGGTGGTCGGCCGCGAACCGGGGGCCCCTGCGGGCGGGGCTGAAGCCGTCCGAGTGGCTGCCGAAGGAGTAGTCGGTGAGAGGAAGGTACCTGCACGCGTGGGACGCGATGGGAAGCGGCGGCGGAGGGACGGCGGTGGGGGCGACGGCGGTGGGCGCGAGGTAAAGGTAGGAGCTGCACCCGACGCTCCTCTCCTTCTTGTGGGCGTTCTGGTGGCCGCCGAGCGCCTGGGACTTGAGGAACTTCTTGTTGCAGAAGAGGCAGGGGAAGAGCTTCACGTACTTGGTCTCCTGATCGGAGGAAGGCGAGGAAGGGGCCAAGGCGAGCGACAGATCAAGGGGCGGCGGCTGTTGTGTCTCTTGAGGAGGAGGAGGAGGAGGAGGAGGAGGAGATTCCATCACACTCTCTGCAACTGGACTAGCAGAAGACTTCGGTGGGGGAATTAGCAGGTCATATACCATGAAAAGAGTGAACAGAAGAAGCAAGTCTCTACCTTCCCAAAAATGTCATATAATGTAGAGAAGTGTCTGCAACATCAAAGTCAACAGATCTTAGAGGTGGAAGGACTCCATCATTGGCAGAGAGAAGCAAATCCGCAGGTGAGTACAGCACCAAAAATAGGTTGGAACAGGGGACACAACAACAAACCCACACATGAGTTGCTTCCCCATCATTGAAATTAATACTAATGAGAAAGGTGAATCCAAGGCAAGGAATATACCTTTTTGTAGAGGGGTTCTGTGGTCAGGCCTTGCTTGGGATAGCTTTCCTTGGGTTGGATGCGTGGGGCAAACTGCCAAGCAACTGAGACCACGAAAAGAAGGGTGTGGAAGACACAGACAGAACTGCCCCATATTGCCCTTTCCAACTTGCAAAGAACACTGACACAGCTGCTGCCCACCACCTTCAAGTGCAGCCTACTAACACAAAATACACCCTAGATTACTGTACATGTCCAATTAATGCCACAAACAACATCCTTGCACAAGAATTAGCACATCAAGAACCCTACCTTTTGATTCGACATTCTCAGCTAACATCAGGGCAAACAAGAACTGGGGAGTGATAATGTTGAATCCAGCCGAGGAAGGCTGTAACAAAATTGGAACCTGGAAACCCATCTGGAGATGAAAGATTGCACCTTCAAGTTGTCCAAGATCCAACATGAGTAACTTGATCTACAGATATTAATATT